AATTTGAACTGTGTATGGATAAAATATATTTATAGTATATCTTAGGATATGATATATTTATCTGTCGATCATGACAATAATTTATTATATATGAATATCCAAGAAAAACAGCAGGCAAAGTTAATCTGACAAACCCTAGGAAAGCTCATGAAAAATGCATCTCTTTTTGCCTTATCTTTTCTTCTTTTTATGAGAGTTTTAAAGTTTAATGATATCTCCCAATTTTCTCTCCACTTCCGTAAACTGATTTTTTTGTATTTAAAAATTCCTCAATCTTATGTACGCATAACAACGCTCTTTATATGAAGAACCATATTGGAATTTCTGAAGTAGAAAATTTTCATCATTCCATGTATTTTAAAACATTCTTTTATTTTTTGATTTCGAGTTGTGTCCGACACATTCTCCATCCTTTTTGAGTTTTCTCATATATACCATTCACTCGGATCGTTTCGTTTACATTCGCTTTTATATCAAAATAAAAAGACCGTTATCTTTGGTTTCACGATTAAGAAAATGCTTTAAATTTAAATTATTCGTTGTATTGTTATATCTAACTCTATCTATGTCAGTATCTTAATATCTATATATCCCTGTCAGTCTCTTCAATATCTATCTATCTATCTATCTATCTATCTATCTATCTATCTATCTATCTATCTATCTATTATTCACTTAATATCTATCTATGTTTCTATCTAATTCGTTTGTTCATATCTATCTATCTATTTCGTTCATGTCTAAGTCTATATCTATCTCTCTATCGGTGTACTCTATTCATATCTATCTATCTATCTATCTATCTATCTATCTATCTATCTATCTATCTATCTATCTATTATTCACTTAATATCTATCTATGTTTCTATCTAATTCGTTTGTTCATATCTATCTATCTATTTCGTTCATGTCTAAGTCTATATCTATCTCTCTATCGGTGTACTCTATTCATATCTATCTATCTATCTATCTATCTATCTATCTATCTATCTATCTGTGCATTCTGTTCATGTCTAACTCTATATCTGTCTATCTCTCTATCGGTGTACTCTATTCTTATCTATGTTTGTTTCTATCTATCTATCTATCTATCTATCTATCTATCTATCTCAGTCTGTTAATATCTCTCTCAACTCTCTCTCTCTCTCTCTCTCTTTGTCTCTCTATTTCTATCGATGTGTATACATATGTTTATACAAATTGATTCATAGTTGTATTTATATTCGTTATTGAAAGCTATTGAATATATTCTGTTATCTTGTCCCGTTGTGCCTGGGAAATATTCGATTCTACGAGTGTACATATGCTTAAATGCTAAAGGCATCAACACACTCTGCAAGATATCGAATATCAATTTATATTCCGCTCTATATTGATACTTACTATCATGCACTGACTTTACCTGACAAGGATGCAACACTTTTCATACATGGGACATTACAATATACTTAATTATATTTAAACATAATTTCTAAACTCAGCCGCACACAGGGTAGCAAGAGTGGGGACACCTAGGAAGGAATTAATTCATTACACAATGTTTACAATTATAAGTTGTTCGCCTTAAAAAATATCATTCATTCTTATATCCTTTTTTTTCATATACGTGTGACGAATGGTTATGAGAGAGAAAAATAGTCATGTCACGAACGTTGAATTGTAGTTGTTTTAATCGGATAGACATGGAACCATATCTTTCTATCAACACAGATCTTGGTAATATAAAAATGAAGACTGGCATCTTTAGCCCAGGTAGGAAATCTAGACTAGGTGAAAGATAACAACGGATTGGAAATTATTTTTAAACACGTCTTGGGCCAGTATAGGTAGTTGAGTAGGATTTTTTTCCGATACGTATCTCTGGGGGTGGGGGAAATCCCTTGCATCTGGCCGTTCACTTCACATAATACACCACCAGATACCCTAAATACTGTATTTTCGCTGTATCCAGGTTGGAGATATCGTCTACTTGCACATTCCTAGATCTTTACCAAGTCAGGCTTCTGGGATGCATTGCTCTTCGTACATAGATAAAGACACATCCTATCTACTCAAATCTCATATGGATGTATGTATGTATGTATGTATGTATGTATCTATCTATCTATCTATCTATCTATCTATCTATCTATCTATGTCAGTGTCTTAACATCTATCTATCCCTGTCAGTCTCTTCATATCTATCTATCTATCTATCTATCTATCTATCTATCTATCTATCTATCTATCTATCTATCTATCTATCTATCCCTGTCAGTCTCTTCATATCTATCTATCTATCTATCTATCTATCTATCTATCTATCTATCTATCTATCTATCTATCTATCTATGTCAGTGTCTTAACATCTATCTATCCCTGTCAGTCTCTTCATATCTATCTATCTATCTATCTATCTATCTATCTATCTATCTCTATCTATGTCAGTGTCTTAACATCTATCTATCCCTGTCAGTCTCTTCATATCTATCTATCTATCTATCTATGTCAGTGTTTTAACATCTATCTATCCCTGTCAGTCTCTTCATATCTATCTATCTATCTATCTATCTATCTATCTATCTATCTATCTATGTCAGTGTCTTAATATCTATCTATCCCTGTCAGTCTCTCCATATCTATCTATCTGTCTATCTATCTATCTAACAACCATGATTTTTGTTTTGTATCAAAAGATTTATCTTGTGTGATTGATAACAAAGAGACGGGAAAAAGTTGATATAGTTTTAACTTACCAGAATTCTTACAGTGTATGGATAGAATATATTTATAGTAAATGTTAGGATGTGATACATTTATCTGTCAATCATGACAATAGTTTATTATATATGGATTAGATAGAGAGTGGAATCTTTAACCTTGGAATGAGCTCCTAGTCTAGAAGAAAAACAACAATGGATTCGAAATTATCTTTCAAAACGTCTTGGGCCAGTATCAGATGTTGAGTAGGATTTTTTTTTTCAGATACGAAGCTCGGGGTGGAGGCAGGGAATACCTTGCATCTGGCCGTTCACTGCACATAGTGCGCCACCAGATACACTAAACACTAATCTTTCACTGTATCCAAGGTTGGGGGGGATTCATCGAGGACAGTAAATAAGTGGATTAAATGACAAAGTTATCATGAGTTCAGACACTGGGCCTGTTCAGTGTAAACTGGGTAAGCAGTAACTGAACTGTCCTAAATAAGAACTAGACGAAGAATTCTTAGGCATAGTCAGTGAAGATTAAATAAAGGTTTTATTTCAAAATTCCATAAAGGTTTCCCGGATCGAAAAACACCTGATGACGGCCGGACGTCACAACGGTCAAAATGTCTTGATAATAACAACAAAGATGCAAAGTCCGCATGCAAATAATGTATATAATTCCTGTTGGACATTCGGTATCCTCCACATGGAACGGATATAAAGCTTTCGTTTTGTCTCGTCTTTTCGTATCTATAATATTAATCTTGATAGATACTCATTCTTAATATTGACCAAGGCCATCTTATCAAGCAGTTTAACATTTTTAATTGTCCTTCAAATATTTATATCTTAACTGGTTTTAGTAGGATATAGAACGTGAAGAAAAATGGGAACATCAGACAAATTGGAAAACTATTTATTGACAACGTGTTTCGGTGAAACATCTAGGAATGTCAAAACAAAAAAAAGGAAGAAAATATGTGCATAGCAGAGGATATATACTGCATAATAACACATTGAATGGACTAGAGGTTAACCGTCACATATCTGGACACAATTTCGACTTAAGAAATGTCAGTCTGATTAGGAGAGAGATAGATTCACAAAGAAGAAGATGCATTGAGAGTGTGCTGATCTGACAGAGTCTGATGATAAACGTAAGACCAGGCTCATACATAATATGATCAAGTAACGTAAAAGAAATCGTGCCACAATGTCGGTGGAGAGATTAACGGTAATCACCTCCGAGTGGGCTTGTTTTGGGGCCAGGAGTGATTGACAACTTTAATACCCCTTCCTTCCACACACACAAACACACATACACACAAAACAAAAAACTAAACAAAACAAAACAAAACAAAAAACAAAAAACAAAAAAAAAAAAACACGAAGTTTTGTGTTTTGTGTTTTTCCTTCAATTTGACCTGAAGACGCCTATCTAATGATGACGAAACGCATTTTCAATAAGGAGTTTTATAAATATTTTCAAAAAAGTACAAGAAAGAAAATTGAAAAGTGAAGGAAAAACAATGACCACAATGTCTAAGTTTAGAGAAACGGTTTTAATGCCATAGTCCTTAAAACGTTTCAATGTGTTCGTTTGTGTGTGTGTGTGTGTGACAAAGGTGAGGCAAAGTAAGCTGCTGAAATTAAGTTCTACCATAATGTTTTCTCTCAGTGTATTCCAGGAGGACTATTTTTTTTTTTAATTTGCCGCTTCCCTATGTCCTGACTTTTGTAGTATCACGTGACTACATATATAAGGGTAAATAATCCACAACTTCTGCCACTCTTATTTTTATTAATTTTATCCATATATGTATGTGGATGTATATTTTTATATTATTTATTTATACATATGTATATATGAATATTGTCTTGTCTTTCAAAAATGTTCGCTCTATACATGATGGAAGTGCCACTAATCAAGATGGTTACTAAATGAAAAGTGTGATATGAACGTAAGAGATGCAAATATAAACTGAATATTACGCGGATATGGAGGATAGATAATGATTGACTCAAGTTATGAAGAGGTTAAGGTTTTAGTATTCCAGGATACATTCACTCGGGATTCTATTCTACAAAGTTAAGGTTCTGATTCATAGACGAGACGCCCTTATCAAATATATCAGTAGGGAATGAGTCTGAACATAAAGTGGGTTTTGGTTGTAAATGTTTGAGATTTTGGCACTAACGAATTGAGCTTTCTTCAGGTGGTTGGAATATCGAACTGAACCCTTTATTTCGCTCACTGGGGTAGGCTGCTCTAGATCCACGTGCCATGTTTAATGGATGTCAGTTATCAGA